CTTTTTTGATAAAATTCCAGATTTTAATCGATTTATTTGCATAATTGATTCGAAATCAATGAATTTTCTCCGATTATCATCAATTTTCTTTATATGAATCGAATAAAATCGATTATTAGCGACTATAATCGGTTTGTTACGATTTTTATTAAGCAATTAGAATCAATTTTCAAAGATAATCCATTTTAATCAATATTTGGTGGTTTTTGGTCATCTAAAATCAACTGTCACGAATCGTAATCTACTAAAATTGATTTCGCATTCGATTCGATTATAATCATTGAATTAAAAACTACCTAAAACCAGCTGACATTGATTATTATCTAAGAGAATCAATCAGGTTTTGCAATCGATTATAATCAATCAGTTAAGAATCCTCTAAAATCTAGTGATATTCACTACAATCAGCAGGAATCGACTAGATTTTTCATTTGATCTTAAGTATTAAGTTAAAACGAGGGGTGTCAAATTATGGGTTGATCATCGCAAACAAGATCGACCTAATTCTATTAACCCAATAATCAGCATTGACCCCTAATTATTTTCCACAAGTTTTTTCGCATTTTATCACAACTCAATTTTTTGACCCCTGGGGTCCTCTCAGGGTTCTAAAAACTTTTTTTTCGCCGTTTCATCAAAAGTCCATCTAGTTCGATAGCGCTATGTGTGCTGATTACAAATATTATATCATTTTTCGAAAGTGCTCAGATAATAAGAAAGATCTGAAGCATTCTTTGGAAGTCGTAAAAGTCAGTTTTAGATTTGAAAGTCTATCAAGGCTCGAACAAAACTGGTCCAAAAATAAGCTCATTAGATAGAGAATGAAATTCTCTATCAGAATCTATAGGAACATCTTAGACATTGGGAATTTTTTTTATCGATAAATGCCAAACACCGCCCCAATTGGATCATTTGATACAAATAATTATTTTTTGAGTCTTTCGAAGTTATAGTTTTTCCGGATGCACTAGCCTGATTTTTTCACTGAATAGGCAGTTCAATGTGCTGTTTCTGATGACACGATTTTCAACTTGAAATTCGAATGTCTTAAGAATCACTTTTGCTTACATTACTGTGCTGGACAGTCAATTTGCCCATTTTTTGACAGTTTTCGGGCACAAACTGCTTCGATGACTTTCATCTTGCGGCTAATTTTGGGTATCTGGTTCCGTCAGGTATGGTCGAAAAATAAAAGTCGTATAAAGGGTTTGAAATGTACATGGTCTGACTAAGTTTTTTGTGCTGATATCAAATATGACATGTTAAAAGTTAAACGAAGCAGTTTCTGCTCAAAAATCGTCAAAAAACAGGCAAATTGACTGTCCAGCACAGTAGTGTAAGCAAAACTGATTTTTAAGACATCGAATTTCAAGTTGAAAATGGTGTCATCAGAAACAGCACATTGAACTACCTATTCAGTGAAAAAATAAGGCTAGTGCACCCGGAAAAAGTATAACTTCAAAAGACTCAAAAAATCATTATTTGTATCAAATGATCCAATTGGGGCGGTGTTTCGCATTTATCGATAGAAAAAATTCCAATGTCTAAGATGTTCCAATAGATTCTGATAGAGAATTTCATTCTCTATCTAATGAGCTTATTTTTGGACTAGTTTTGTTCGAGCCTTGATAGACTTTCAAATCCAAAACTGACTTTTACGACTTCCAAAGAATGCTTCAGATCTTTCTTATTATCTGAACACTTTTGAAAAATGATATAATATTTGTAATCAGCAGACATAGCGCTATCGAACTAGATGGACTTCTGATGAAGCGGCGAAAAAAAACGTTTTTAGAACCCTGAGGGGACTCCAGGGGTCAAAAAATTGAGTTGTGATAAAATGCGAAAAAACTTGTGGAAAATAATTAGGGGTCAATGCTAATTATCGGGTTAATAGAATTAGGTCGATCTTGTTTGGGATGATCAACCCATAATTTGGCACCCCTCCTTTTCAGTATAGTCAGGTACCGTCCCTATTTCAACTTAATCGGTCTCATTTACCTCGATATTATGAAACATTGGCCTATAATTTGAGCCAGTGTTTTCAACCAGATCGGTATAAATCATAACTTAATAGTGATAATAAGCAAAAACGTACGCAAAAATGTGAAAATAATTTTTCGTCTTGTAATAAACAACATTCACGTTCAGCGAACACGGTTTTTCCGTCCACCCCTTGTACTCATGTCGATACCACTGATGATTCTTTTTCATCTAATTTATGCAACATATGTCATCAACCTGGTCAGGAGGCTTCCGTCTGTTCAAGTTTTTAGTTTCGGAGTCATGGAAAGATAGTGCTGACTCTGGACAATATAAGAAAAACCCATCAAAATCTTTCTTAATTTTCATTATCGCTTTAGTAAACCAACATAAAATGCGGATTTTAATCGACACCTGAGCATTCACAACATTTATCAATTACAAAATTTTGCGTCGTATAGTACCTTTTGATAATATTTGTAAGCAACCCTACTCTTTTGTCTTAGCAGATGGAGTTGCGCCATTTCACGTTCTTGGATTAGTCAACCTAACTATTCAATTTGCTAATTCTATCACCACCATTGAAGCATATATTGCTCAAGATTTATGCACAAATATGATAATAGGAATGGACTATATTAATAAGTATAATCTGAAAACAAATTGTTACTGTTGAATACGACAATAGCATACATATAATGCCAAATGATAGAGATTGCTCGTCCATTGAAATACCAGTTATTTCTTCTAAAACAGTATTTCTTCATCGTTTATTCTACGTTCTTCGTCAAATGAATATCAATTTATTTCTACTAAACATCCATTTCTCGAGTTTCAACACTATTGTTCTAAAGTTACCTTATCGAATGTTTCTTCAGATCCTCAAACTGTTTGGAAAGGTGTGTACGTGGGGTATCTAATTTACCGTTCTATGTTCCACTATTCAGAAGTTTTTTGGTCTTCGTGTCCGTCATTTGGGGCTACCAAATACACTTATACGACTCCAGCGCCAATTGATTTTATCGCGCATGACTCTTCTGGTAATTACTCATCTAAGTTTCGAAATATATCCTTACAAGATACTCATAATTTGCGATGCTATCCAACCATTTCAGTTTGTAATTCAATACAATTAATTAATCTCGTAGTCGTCGAACATATCAATTCTCTAGTTCATAAGATTCAACACGATCAACAAAAACGAGATCTTTTATTTTATTAATGAACTTTCATAGTACTTTCGATACAACAAAAACATAATATTGCTCGAACACCAATTCCTCATGTTATTAATACAGTTCCCCATTCTCCGTCTACTAGCAGACCATATCCACAATCAGATAAAGAGGATGCAGTGTACAGATTGATCCAAGAATATTTCGAAGCAGGTCTTTTTAAAGAATCGCATTCGCCCTATGCCGCACCTGCTATGCTAGTGAAGAAGAAAGATGGCTCTTTTCGACCTGTAGTAGATTATAAACGACTAAATTCTATAACTATCAAAGATTTGTCATCTCTTCCGAAGATTGAAGATACTGTTCAAAAGTTAGGTAAAGGTTTTACTTACTTTTCCAAACTTGATCTCAAATCCGGGTTTTATCAGATATCTATCCTTGATAGTGGTAAGGAGAAAACTGCCTTCGTGACTCTTTTCGGCGTGTATCAATTTAATGTATTGCCGACGGGTTTGCAAAACTCTCCTCCTACCTTTAAAAAAGTCATGACAGATGCCCTAAAATAATGTCGTCCTTTCTCTCTTGTTTATTTAGATGACATAATCGTCTTTTCGAAATAATTTTCAGAACATCTGCTTCATCTTGAACGAGTACTTTTATCAGTAAAAGCTCAAAATTTAGTACTTAAGCCGCATAAATGTGAATTAGCCGTACAGCAAATCGAGTATCTCTGTCACACGATCTCAAAAAATATCATTAAACCGATGAAAGATAAAATAACAGCTATTTTACAAATCCCAAAGTCACGTACACTTTCACAGACGAACAACTTTATTGGTGCTTTAGGCTGGTACAGAAAATTCTTACCAGACTTTGCCACCATAGCAGCCCCAATACATGAAGTCACTAACCTCATAAGTTTAAATGGAGACATGCACAATCTGAAGCATTTCAACAACTTAAAAAATTCTTACGACCAAACCTTTATTTCTTCATTATCTAGCCGATAATCTACCATTAATTTTGACCACAGACGCTAGTGGTGTAGGCACAGGAGGCGTTCTTCAATAGGAGGTTGACGATAACTTGCATAATTTATATTACTATTCACAAGTTATGACATCATGTAAAAAACAGTAAAAAATGTTCGAGTGAATCGTATAACACGCCTAATTCGAGAATAAAATATAGATAATGCTATTCATATTTAAGGTCGTAATAAGTGTCGTCCGGATTATCTTTCAAGGTATTCTCGTGAACAAGATGATGGTTTGTTTAATATTGAATAGGGACTAGCTAATATAGATAACTCCATATCGTCCACGTCGATATCTAGTGATAAAGCGTCAGATGTTCCTTCGACAAATTGTTCTAACAATCAAACTATTTTAGCAGCAATGACTTTAAGATCACGTGAAAATAACCTAGAATCTACGGATCACTCTACCAGAGTCAAAGATAAAAATAATACTAATAATGATTTCGATAATCTATCTATACAGAATGAGTCATATCGGCAAGAAATACCATCCGAATTTTCCCAAAGTTATTTTGATATGACTAAGTTGAAACATGAGAAAGCTCGATATCCTGATATAAAAATGATAATTCAACATATCGATTTATCAACCTATCAGTTTTCATTTGCTTTCAAAGACAATACTCTTTATAAATTATTATCTTTCCGGTCGAGTTCTAAACAAAAACTTAAAGTTATATGCTTACCGTCGTCTATGAGAAATTCTTTACTACGTGCCTGTCATGACGATCCTATGACTGGCGCGCATTTTTCGGCAGACCGCACCCATTATAAAATTCGATCTCATTTTTGGATGATGACGCATGAAGACCACGATACAAAAATATATTAAAGCTTGTCATTTATGTACACATTATAATGCAAGCCGTCGTAAAAAACATGGTCATTTACATCCTATTTCATCACCGGATGCACCATTTGCCTTAATAGGTATTCACTATTGTGGCCATTTTAAACGAACTCCTTGTGACAATCAATACGTACTCGTCATAACTGATTATTTTACTAGGCATATCACCGCATTTACATTACCGAGTTGTACGACTGCCACGACAGTACAGGTCTTATTTAACGAATTTCTTTCTAAATATGGTATTCCGTCAGTTATATTATTAAGTGATCAAGGACCACATTTTCAGAATCAAGTGATGCATAATATCCAGAAACTTATTTGATATAATCATATTTACATCACCCTATGTCGTCCTCAGACGAATGGAGTGGTCGAGTGCTTCAAGGGTACTTTTTTCCTCAGATATCGAAGTTGCAAGACTCTCAGAGCAATAACTGGGATAAGTACGTACAAGCTGTTGTTTTTGCAAACAACACGGGAGTACATAAAACAACAAAATCATCCCCATATGAACTATTGTATGGGCATTCTCCTCGTTTACCTATTCACGCGCGATCTACACAGTTCACATTTACTAAATCTAATGACTAATTTGAACAACTAAAGAAAACTTTGAGAACTTTTCAACAAGCCTCTAGAAATAATATTCTTCATCAACAAAAAATCACCAAAATCTGGTATGATCACAATCGTCTTAACCCGTATTTAAAAGTAGAAGATAAAGTATTAACACGCATTTATGGTTTGACAGGAAAACTCGAACCAAAATTTCCCCCACTTAGGGATGTGCGGTGTCAGTGACAAAACCGAAAAAACTGACACTTTTGTCACCGCCAGCGACACTCAGTGGACATCGATAGACTTAGTGTTACTGAGCACTGAAATATCAAACACACTGACACTGACGCCACTGAAGCACTGATGACCAGTGCATCACGGATCACTAATGCACTGACATCCTCGACGTCACTGACTCCACTAACCGATCATAATTACTATCGAAATTTTAATAGAAGGCAGGTGGAGATAAAGCTTCTAACTTTCTGACGAAAAGTCATAGCGATGTGCGGTTTTCAGCAATCGATAGAAGATTATAGGAAACACATTTTTATATAAAAACCAAGGTTTAAATAATTAGTGATTGTGGAATCACTGAAAGAGTAGGCTCGTTATTCAGTGAAATGTTAGCAGAACAAGCTGAACATTTCAGCATCTATAGCCCCACTGTAGCCCAATCTTTCCTAAAAATTTCATCGATAAATTTTGTGATGACAAGGAATAGTGAGCCAATTACCATCTGGTTTTGCATGAGGCTTTCATTCATTCCACATATTAGGAAATGGCCTCAACTTTTGGCTGTATAAATACCATAATCTAGACTTCATATCAATGCAATAGAATCGTACTTTAGTCGTAGAAGTGTACAGAAATAGCCAAAATTCGACGAACAAATGATTTTCATATAGCCAGTATTTTAAAAGAAATCTTCCCAACTTTCTCAAGAGAAATTCAGAACTTAGTAATATTTTCATCGTTTCTTCTTGTTCATATAATCAAACTATGATATAATTGCATAGATATGAAGTCTAGATTATGGTATTTATTCAGCCAAAAGTTGAGGCCATTTCCTAATATGTTGAATGAATGAAAGCCTCCTGAAAAAGCAGATGGTAATTAGCTCACTATTCCTTGTCATCACAAGATTTATCGATGAAATTTTTAGGAAAGATTGGGCTACAGTGGGGCTATATATGCTGAAATGTTCAGCTTGTTCTGCTAACATTTCACTGAATAACGAGCATACTCTTTCAGTGATTCCACAATCACTAATTATTGAAACCTTGGTTTTTATATAAAAATGTGTTCCCTATAATCTTCTATCGATTGCTGAAAACTGCACATCGCTATGACTTTTCGTTAGAAAGTTAGAAGCTTTATCTCCACCTGCCTTCTATTAAAATTTCGATAGTAATTATGAGCGGTCAGTGGAGTCAGTGATCCGTGATGCACTGGTCATCAGTGCTCCAGTGGCGTCAGTGTCAGTGTGCTTGATATTTCAATGCTCAGTGACACTAAGTCTATCGGTGTGTACTGAGTGTCGCTGTCGGTGCCGGTCGGTGTTCAGTAATCTGACACCGCACATTCCTAGGGGCCCCCACTACCAAAAGTTATTACTCACATTCAACACCCAATTTATACTGTTGAAGATGAAAAGACGCATATACCAACACAAATACACATTAGTGATCTAGAACCAATTGTTATCGACTGGATGATGTCATACAGTCAATAATAAGATGCAGTATCATCAATTATTTATTATTTTTTGTTATCCGATATTCTCATTACAATTAATAATTTTATTTTTCTTTTCGTCTTATCTATTCATTTTCTCAAATCAACTTAATTTCATCTCAGATTATAGTCATAATAAGGATTGATATTTTTTTTCTTCTTCCAACAGGTCTATAAAGCTGCGTTGAAATTATAATAATCTTTTATCATTGAATTTGTGTGATTCTACGGCGCCGTAGGGAGACATAAGAAGTTGCTATACGATTTCTATAAATATTTGAAGATGATTCTTTATTATGAAAGAGATAAATGATTTACAATTGCGTAGTGTTTCGTGTTCATACTTATTATTTCAGTTTTTAATCGTTCATAAACTTATTATAATTGTTTTCATCACATTTTTTTTCTTTTTTATGTCTTCTGATTTATATTGATATACATCCTATCATCAACCATCTCTTTTTTCATTTGATTACAAACCTACATTATCATAATTAATTTCAATTATTAATAACTGTTCATCTGGAAAACTATCGATTTTAGTTATTGCTGATAGTCATGGAAAAAACTTGAATTTACCAATTATTATACTTGACTATCAAAGAATTATCTTTGCGATCTCTGAACTTCAATGAATGAATAAATATAATCAACGTTTATGTACTCTTTCTTTGATCTAACAAGATCCTTTATCATCTTTGTTACATTCGTGTTCTCATGTCTTGTTTCTTGTTGGAACAAATTCGGTTTGAAATTTACCAGCGATCCAGCTCCTTCGTCAAGTTGAAGATAATCTTGATCTTCTTCATTCACGATATTCTCATTTAAAACAACATGGAAAAATTACAATAATAGCGACATTTTCTTGTCTAATACCATCAACTTTTTTCCTTGTATTCCATCACTACAAACTTATATTGATACTTATAATGGATTATTATCTACTCTTGCATTTAATCGAAACTTTTTTCTATGTTGATTTGCATACACCCGTATTTTTTTAAGTCCAGATAAAATGCACATTCATCATCAACATAAGCAATTTCTTTCTGATACTATTCTTAACCACTTAAATGATTTGAATATTTAAACAACAGCAGCTAATGCAGCTAAACGTCGTTCTCCCGAAGTCGTTGCTTGCCGCAACAAAATACGACATTAAGTTAAAAACATACAAAAATAGTTACACTAGTAAGAGAAATTCTTCCAGTATGGTCTTGGCGATGTCTAAAAGACTTTCTACAGCATCATGAAATAAAATATGGTTCTCTATCTGCAATCTTTCATTATAAATTACGTCCACGATTTAACAATTTATTTCATCTGAATCGAACAGATAATCTTCTACCAATGGATGTATTCAACGAAGCAAATTTATCTAAGTGGATTCATGAACATAAACTACCTTGTTTTCTTTAGTATTTTTTTCTTATTTCTTACTTTTGTTTGTTTCTGCTTTTGTTAAATATGCATTATGTTGTTATATTGCATTCGTTATTATTACTTTTTTCTTCTTCTTCTTTTCTCTTGTAATTTCTACATGCTATCTCTCATTCCCTCAATATATAGTCGTTCTTTCAGCCTACACAATAGGGTAGACAGGAGCTATGAATAGTTATCTTTGAGTAGGGGAAGGTGTTAGCGTCAAAAAATGTCACCAATTGACGCTAAACATTTTCCAATATGTTACTGTTTCTGTATTTCTCTTTCATCTATAACATAATTTGTCGAATATATCTGACTCACGTGATTGATGATTTATTACATTGTTCTCTTTTCTTTTTGTTGTCATTAACTCATTAGCATCATCATCAAATAAAAACTTGTTTGTAAACCCTTCTATTTAACTTTAAATATAATATTACATTTATATTGTAGGGTAAGCTATCTTTCCATACGTGATCTCTCGCTCTCGCTAATACAAGTGTCGTCCCAAAGAACCATCGGATATAACATTACGTAAATATAGACAAAAAACTATTAATACGATTTTTAACATCAAAACGAGAGAATCACAATCTATACTGATAAAAGTCGCAGAAACGTCTCTTTACAAGTTAAAGTAACCGATTCAGACAGACCTACAGTCAATAAAAAGTACAGAAGATCTACGAAAAAAAAAGTGCCACAACGTTATGTTTTCTATCTACATCACTTACCCGAATAACAATAGCTAGAGGAAAACTTTTTTACCTTTGAAAAGCTCATTTGAAGCTCTACAAAATTTGGTTTCAGGAGCATCTGATTTGGACATCGACTTTAACTAAAAACATGATTTTTAAAGCATGAATAGAAGACGATGAGTTACGTCGAATGGCGTTTGGACAAGCCGAACACAGGGATCTGCGTTTGTGTCGTTGCAGGAGTACACCGGTATGTGCACATGTATTCGTGAAATTCAGATAAACGCTCTGTATTGATGACTGTTTTCAATGGAAGTTCCACAGAAATAGAGTATTCAATTGGCAGATCTCATTCGATATGCTTTTTGTCATTATGTAATTGAGCTAATCAAATCTTGCTCGAGTTTACTCGGTTTTGATAAATTTCAAAAATATCGAAATTCACTTTTGTCAGACAGTAGGAATAAATAATGCTTAAATGTATGTTTTGTGGTTTTGCTTACTTATCGTTTTTTGGTTTCTTTATTCGGGATGGACAATATCAGATTGTTTAGTAATCGAAATTGGATTGGCATCTTCTCGGTTATTTGCGGAATTGAATCGGAGTCAGAATCGCCTATTCCTTTTTTGTTTTCTATTCCGATCCATAATAGCTCATTTCTATTCCTTATAATGTAATGCAGGATACGACTACTCAGAATTCTTTCACTAAGCATGCTGCATTTATATGTTTATCGTGATCATATCCTTTCAGCAGAGGGTTAGTGACACACACGTCGCGTTTCTTGTATTACAGCAGAACTATTCTACTGATGTCTGAAATAACGATGGAAACAGAATAGAGTATATGTATTTTGAAGAAATCATTTTAATAAAAGAAATAATGAATAAAGTAGAAGTAGTG